GTCTCTTATACACATCTAGATGTGTATAAGAGACAGCAATCAACCAATCAACCAATCAAAAAAAAAAAAAGCAAAATCGAATCAATCAATCAAAAGGGGGCGGGGCGACCCCGCCCCAACCAATCAATCAATCAATCAATCAATCAATCAACGGAAAAAAAACAAACAAAAAAAAACCACGTTTTTTTCTTTCTATTTTCTTCGATTTCGCCCTTACCCCCCCAACCAAAAAATTGATTTTTTTCGTTTTTTTTTGCCTGATGGGGTGGGGCCGGGGTTGCGCCGCCACGTGGCGCTTCCCGATTCCTCAACCTCCCTCCCCAGCGGCCGCCACGCGTCTGCGAAGACGCGCGTCCGCGCGGACGTGTCCGCGGGCTTCGCGGCCTGGCCGCGGCCGCGGACTTGGCCGCGCCTGTCCGCCGCCGGGGGGGATACATAGCCAGTAGCTGGTTCGTACCAACATCAGATCCCGGTGTTGCCAGCGCCATATGGACTAGCAACGCTTCCACAGCAGTTTGGGCAGGGGCTTCCATATCAATACCAGGGAGCTACATCTCAAGGTCCGGGGCCGTATCTTGGTCAAATGGCGAGCAACGGTCAGTACCAAGGATACGGACGTGGGAGTGGGGGGAATTACCAATCACGTGCCTTCTTCACCATGGAACACGCAGATTTCATTGACAAGCTGAAGATGAAGGAAGCTATTGACGAAGCCAGGAAGAGAGATCTGGATGAAATCGCTAGATTGAAGGAGATGGGGAGAGAGGAAGCGAAGCCAAGAGAAAAGCAGAAGGATACAGGGAGGAAGCCGACTGGGAATGAGAAAGGGAAGGGTAAGAGTGTTGGCGAGGGCAAGGAAGATGAGATGAAGAAATGGGTAGCAGAAAACTTTGGAGGCTCACTGAAGATTTTGACTGAGAAGCTAGAAGTGGTAGAAAGGAAGTCGAAGCTGCAGGAGAGTGAGGTGGAGGAGCTTAGAATGTTAAGAGCTGAGAAGGAACTAAGGGATCTCAGGGAGAGCTCCAGCAATGAAAAAAGAAAGCGGGATTCGACTCCAGTCAGGCCGAGGGGGGGTAAGGTTAGATCACGCACCGGCCTACTGAAGAAAGGTGGGAGAAGTAAAACCAATGCTCACGTGGAGGTATCATCTGATGAAGGGAGCAAGGAAAAGGATGTTGTAGTCCAGAATTTGGAAGGGAAACCGCAGGACTCGAGTAGCAGCCTAGCTGAGGCATTAGTTTTGAAAGATCTAATCAGGGAGTTGCTGGCTGCAAAAGGCGACGGCGCAGGTTGTGGAGGGGAGGAAAGGAAGGCTGAAGAGAAGAAGACTGGAAAGCCTGAACGGGGTGGGCCGGCCGCGGGGGCTATGGAGGCTCAGGTGGAACAGGAACCTGGGACTGTTGTGGAACCAGGGAAGGAGGAACTAGCACATGGACTCTACGTCAGGGATCGGGTAGTATACTACGATGCTATGCACTACACGGAAATCCAGGCCCTATGTAAGAAGAAGGGAATTGCTTACAAGAAGAAGGAAGCGGGGGTATGGGAACTAGCAAGGTTGGACTTTGAAGTGCTGCAGAAGTTGGAGAAGCCCGAAGAAGAGGAGGTTGCTGCAAATACGACCAGTGAGGAGGATGGGGATGGATCGGAAGAAAGTTCTGAGGAGGAAAGAGAATCTGGGGATGATGACATTGTCGGGAATTGAACTAAGCTGAGCAAGCGATCTCTGCTGAGAGCTTGCAAGAAAGAGATTGCTTTATCAAGTAAACTTGGGGGGGATGTTGCTAAAGAATGCGGCACAATTTTGAAGCTACTAGGTCTGGCTTTGTGTTTGAGAGGAGACTTAAAGTGGGGAAAAGCATATGTCAAATATTGGTTGAAACTTAGCAAGGAACAAAGGGAGGGAATTTTGGATGCAAGAAATTGTGTTTATGTATTGATCTCCCCTTTCTTTAAGCTAACTTATGTTGGTAAAACTGAGAGATCACTTCAAATCAGATGGCGAGAACACATTAGAACTGCCTCCCTTAAGCATAAGCAGAAGGTGCACCGGTGGTTGGAAAAGGCAGGAACTTCTAATTATGTTTCCCTACCTATCTGGTTTGGAGAAGGGAGCACTCTCTTAAGGATGGAAAAAGAAGAAACCAAGTAATAGAAGACCTAGGAAAAGTAGGATGAATGTGGATATTGTAAATAGTGTGAGTTCTCCTTTATTGTTTAACTGTCGACAGTTTGGCTTCCTCGAAGAGCCTAGCCTTTTGAAGATTTTAAAGAAAGTTGAAATTGGAAAATCATGTGAACTCGAAAATGAGAAAGGGGAGAAGTGGTTGTATGCTTGGGGTGTGATCAAACTACTGTATGGTAATAGTATTGTGATGATAGGGGGACAGAGTATGATGTTGAAGGAAGCCAAGCATTCCATTCAGGAGGGGGGGACATGGATCATCACTGAATTAAGAAAGACCAAAAATAAGTGTGAAGAGGCGAAAAAGAAAGTTGTCATGATCCTAAGGGCCCCTTGGAAGAGAAGGGAACTCTACAAAAAAAGCCTGGAGGAACTGCTAGAAATTAACTCAGGCGTAAAACTGTTGAATAATGTAAGAGGACGGCAGATCACACGAGGGATTATTACTAGAGTTGCGAAGAAGGTCTATGGGATTAATCCTAGGTATAGGGTCACTGTAAAGTTACCTTTTTGTGAATCTGTGAGCAAAGGGAAAGTGCAGTGCTACGTAAAAAACTGGCTGAAGAGTAGGATTGTCCCTACCGCACTATCAGACCTGTTCGCTGGCAGGATGAAAACCGTATGGCTGAGGAGAAAGACCGTCGGTGAAAACCATCAGCGTTTCGCAAGAGGAAAAGGTTTGCCCTGCACTTGCGAAGCTTTTGACTTGCCCAAAGTGAATGGGCACGTTCAGGCCAGATTGGATGAGGTGGAGGGCATTCGTGACTTCGTCCTAAATGCAAAGAACATACCTTTTCCAGGTAGCCTAGTAACTGGACAAGAAGTTAATGTGGCCTGTAATAGGGCAATTGATCCGTTGAAACTGATGGGATGCATTGATAAATCTGAAGTGATTCATGTAAAAAGAAGCGAATTTTGTACAAATGCAATTTCACCCGTGGTGGGCTGTAGCATTGAGTACGTGCTTGGAGTCAAGCAAGCCCTTAGTGGTATCGTGCTATCACCATTGGATAGGAACCCTGGCGCCACTCTTGTGGAATGCCCTGTCCTATACGAAAAAGGGATGAACAAGATGTACAATGATAATGCGAACTATGAGAGAATCTTTGTAACCGAGAAGTTGGTTCTGAGTAACTCAAAAGGCAAATATTTGGGTTTGAAACTCGGGAGGATTGCCAGGTGGGAGTCAAAAGGCAAGCTGCAACAGGCCTATATTCTCTCAAAAGACAAGGACTTGGAGAGAAAAAGGCCAATTGTGCCTTATTTTTTTAGCCCAACGTCGAGTGCAATGGGTTACCTGGCTAAGTGTCTGAACTTTCTGATAAAAAGAATCAAAGGAAGACATTTCAACATCAATGGGCCCAAGCAGCTGAAAGAAAAGATCAGCAGGGTAAATGAAAGAGCAAATGATGAGTACAGACTAGATTGTAGAATGGAGGTTCGTACATATGACGTAAAAGAGATGTTCACTAAACTGCCACACCAAGAGATAATTAAAGCAGTTAATTGGTTGGTCTGCGAATTTCGGGACAAGGGGCATGATTGGATTCGGGTCAAAGTGAAGTCACATGGTGAAGTAGGATGGAAATCTATTCGAATGAGTGATCTCGTGACCCTAACTTAGTTTCAGATTGAGAATACCTACTTTTACTCGATGGATCAGATCCTGAAGCAGACAATTGGAATTCCTATGGGGGGAAGGGCTAGCCCGCCATTGGCAAATGTATTATGCATTTTTTCGGAACAACAATTCATCTCCAGTCTGGGTACTGATGCCAAACATATCGACGGGAGCAGATTCATTGATGACCTACTACTGATTGGATGGTATAATGCAAAGGAGGAAAATGGAGTAAACAGGATAAATGGGATACTCGACAAGATTGGAGGATGCTACCACAGTGATTTGACTTTGGAACGGACAAACTGTGGAATTGGTATCCTGGAATTCCTTGAAACAAGGTTGATCGTCACGGATGTGCCTGCCTGGATCCATAGTCTGCACAAGTTCAAGAACATCGATACAATCTGGGAAGGAAGAGAAGGGCATTTCAGAACTCTGAGGTGCTTCGATTCTTACGCCCCGAAGGTACAAAAATATGCAGCTGTCGCAAATGTGCTGAGCAGAATCAGGGATAACACGAACACCAACCTGACACTTTGGATGAGCTTGATGACTTTCTTGAAAGAGACAAGGGTGCTGAAGTACCCAACTGAAGTACTTGAGGCTGGTCTAAGGAGAATGGCGAGAAGGACAAGTTCTGAGTTTGAGAAAGATCTGGTGCAAAAGATGTTAAGATGGATGGAATAAGTGGGAGGAGGGTGGGACACTGAGACGTCCTTGAGATCCTCTGTTGAAAAAAAGGGGGGGCGGGGTCTAGCCTAGGAAGTAGCACTGGCTGGGGACTGCCCTTTTGGGGATGAAATAGAGGGGGCACAAGATCGGGCCGGGAAAAAAAGCCCCCTGAAGTGGCATAGGCAAAAAGATGACATTTGGCCCGTGTTTTTGTGGATCGGAAACCTGGAGGATACAGGATCAGAAAAAACAGTTGTGAGAGGGCAGAAAGTTGTTCGACTTTGAGAGTAGCCGTCGCCCGGTAGTAGTTTTTCTACCCTGAGGTCGGCTACTACTGAGGTATTATTTTGAATGAACATAGTTTGGTTTTTTGGGTAGGGACGTGTAGTAGCCGTTGCTCTTCTGTGGGTAAACGGTGAATGCGTAGGAATAAAATGCACGAGTTGGGAGCTAGTTCTCCTCTTAGCCTGAGCAGCAGGACATAAGGGTTGAGCGTCGGTGAGTTTTTCACCAATGAGTATTAGGGATTCTTTGCTGTGAGATGTAACGTTCGCGAATTCCTGTTTGTGTAACATTTGTAAGTCCCAATTGACCTGATCATAAGCTTTCTCGAAATCGAAGAAAAGGATCCCCACTTTCATTTTTTTTTTGGTGATTTTTTTTGCTGCTTCGTTCAGGGTAATCATATTGTATGTACTGCCCCGGGATGAAACCTGCTTGGTCAATGTGGAAGCATTTGTCGGTGAGGCTGTTGGCCAATGGTTTTGCCAAGATTTTGTATGGGGTCACGAGTAAGGAGATGAGTTTGTAGTTCTTTAGGTCTTCTTTTCCCCCCTTCTTGTGGAGCAAAGAGATCACGTTGGTGCTGAGATATCGGCCTAGGCCTCCCTTGTCTATGCAGTCGTTGAAAAACTCGAGAAGATTGTCTCCCAATATGGGCCAGAATTGCAACCAGAACTCTTTTGATAAGTCGTCAATGCCTGGGACTTTGTCCTTGCCCATTTGGGAGAGTGCTATTTGGAGTTCCCCCTTGGTGATCGGCTTGTTGAGGTCCTTGGTCTGTTTCGGTGTGCTTATCCTGTCTAGGTGGGACATCATACGCTAGCGGGCGTTCAAATGAGTTGTGGAGGGAGGCGAGGGGGTTTTGGACTCGTAGAGTTCTGCATAGAAGGCCCTGGCTATTCTCACCATACCTGAGCCAGCTGTTTCGACCTTGCCTTGATTCGTCGGGTCCTTCAAACCTTCGATCATGTTGTTTTGGCATTGGATTTGATCTTGGAGAACAAAATTTTGGTCACGGACTCGTTGAGGGAGTAGTCTGTCATCCTAGCTCGTATTTGCAGGCCTCGCAATTCCCACCTTCTCCATTCGTTGACTTCCTCTTTGGCATCTCTTAGAAGGTCATAATAGAAGTCGCTAGCAGGATCCGTTATGAGATTCGCCTCGGCTATTTCTATGGCGATTTCGAGTTCCTCTTTTCTTATTTTTCGTTCGGCTGCTATACTTCTCGACTCGGGAGAGAATCTGAGAAATATCCTTATAGTTGTCAATGAACCATCAGTGTTTGTCCCTTCTTCTTGTCTCATCCTGGCTCATGAACAACCAATTCCACTTAACTTCCTTTGTTAGGTGCTTTGTTGCTATGAGGGAGTTATTGAGTCTATAGAAGCCTTGACCCTTGTCCACCGGGGAGCTGAAGTTCAGGAGTAGATGGATTGGTTTGTGATCCATCCCTTTGAAGGCAGCAGCAGGTAGGATTTCCGCCTTCTTGACTGCCCCTGGGAAGGAATCGGAGATCAGAAAGAAATCAATCCGGGAGAGTGACGTGTGGTTCACCAGTTTCCCTTTGACGAGAGAGAATGCCTTCGTTGAGTGGTGGAGAGTTCTGAACGGGTCGATCAGTTCAAACTTTGTCATGAGGTTCCGTATGTGGGTTCCGGCTTGTGTGGGCCCCATGAGGAGGGACCGATAAATACGGTCAGGGTTAGGGTCTAGTTTCGTGTTCCAATCCCCTGCTATAATTGCAGGTTGGGGATTTTGTAGGAGTGACTTGATGTTGTTAAAGATATTCAGTCGTTTGCTTTCTGAGTTAGGGGCATATAGGTTCAGAATCCTCAGGTCTTCTTCTTGCCACCTGATGTTGATCCACGACCATCTGCCTTGTATCTTGTCGCCTTCTCCTTTGAAGATTTGTCCTTCAGACACGGTTTTGGAGGTGCGCGGAACTAGGACTGCAATACCTCGTTTGCTCAGTCCCTCTTTGTTGGACCACAGCGCGAAGGCACATCCTCTCAGGCTCTTTTCTATTGTCCTTTTGATTCTGGCATGGTTGGGCAGATTGGATAGGTGGGTTTCTTGCAGTAAGACAACATCGGGTTTTGGCTTGTTTTTATTTGTAAAACCTCCTTGAATGTCCCGTAGTTTATCCTCCTTGGTGAGTATGTTGTCGAGGCCGTAGTTTATCCTCCCCACGTTGTTTGTCGTGGACCCTCCGCTATCCTAATTGTCCCTCTTTTCCACTGTCGACCCCAAGCTGTACTTCCCCATGCTGCCCTCGGGCGCTGGGGTGGTACCAGTCTCAGCGTTGTCCAGGGGGATCCTATCGGCCAGTATGTCATCGTCGTCCTCTCCCCTGCTCCCGTCGTTATCCTCGGGTTCCACGTAGAGTGGCATGGCTTCATCCCACAGGGAGTGCTCCATGGAGAGGATGTGGGACTTGATGATGGTGGCTAGGGAATCAGCCATCACCTCTGCCGGCCACATCTTGCCTGCAAGAGTGCTGTACGGCAAAGTTGTCGCTGTGTTCCATGCCCTCCACACCAGTCCCTCACATAATCTTGCTTTTTCTTCCATTTTTATGAGTATCGGTTCAAAGGACTTTGCTGAATCGGGGTCCTGGTCTGTCTCTTCTGGGTTTTCTGCAAAGGAGGGGGGGATTCTGAAGACCCCTGAGGGGAAATCTTCAGAGATTCCTTCTTTGATGGCTTTGGCCAGTGTCCGCTGGTCTCGTATTGTTGGAATAGCAAAGGATACACCGGTGGCCACTTGGCATTCTCCAAATTTTCTCCTGTAGCGGACGGGGACCAGGGGCCTGATGGCCCTGATGGTCTTGCGGTCTGAGGCTGCTTTCTCGGCAACGTGGGGAGCCCTGTTCTCAGCAACATTTTGGATTGTGCAATGTTCTTTTTTGTTATGACCCTGGCCAATTGCGAGATACACATCCATCAAAAGCACAATGCTGTCCAACTGCAAAAGGAAATGAATGAACTTGAGAGGAGAGAGAAGGTAAGAAGAAGGAGGAGAAGTAAGAAAGAAGAAGAAGATGATGTACACCAGCAAAAGCAAATGTCAAGGCTCTTCTTCTTCGCCCAACAACCTCCGCCCTGTTATCTCCCCCTCTCTTATTCATACAAGAAATAATAATACAATGTCAAAAGGCTGCACCAGAATCAATGTCCGAGTCCCACTTCTACTGCAGGTAACACTTGAGGTCCACCATAGCCATGGCTGCCTTTACCCTCCTTCCACCTTGAAGGCCGAGGCTATGGTGGACTACTACGGCCTGGCCCTGATATGCAACGGACAACGCAAAGCAGCTATGGCTGCCCAGGCTCTGCTGTGCAGAGGACAACTCAAAGCAGCTATGGCTGCCACCACTCAGGTCGCCATGCCCCACTCTGCCTCGAAGCTTCTTGGTGCCGCTCTCCCCTTGCTGGGGTCTTCTTGCTGCAGCGCCCACCAAGGTGATGAAGATGGCTGCCACCATAGCCAGGTAAGTACCCCTRGCGCTCCTCCCTCTTCCTCCTTCTTCTTCCTCCTCCCTTCTTCTTCTTCCTCCTGTCCTTCTTCTTCCTCCCCCATCAGCGCTACTCCAACCCAGCGCTGCTCCACCTAGCGCTCCACCAGCGTGTTGCCAAACTTGCACACTGAGAATGAGGYCGGGCTYTTCGCCCRGTCTRAAGATATAGCGGCSTGCTTGCCTCCYTGGGCGGTGACTTCCAGGCCGCTCGGCCTCTCCAGCAACCGGTACCTCCTCCGTTTCGGAGGGAAACATCATTGCAGACTCTGATATTGCCCGTACAGGCCCTAGAYTCCGACTGGTTAGACTGGTACCTGCCTAGACCTAGCATACAACTACTGGGCCTCTAAAAATGCAACTTTTGTCTTTTTGTGCTCGGCCTCCAGTACCCGCACATCTACCCCTTCGTAGTGCGGTACCGGCCTCCCGCTACTTGAGTGTTTTCCCGCTGCAATCCCCCGATGCCAAGGTCACAGGTAAGTATCGGCCCTGAGGGCCGCGAACGAACAGGTGCCCTTACGGGCCACATTCAAGCAACCGGCACACAGACAAGCACGGTCACACACACACTCAAGCCATCCAGCACTCAGACAGACATGCAGTCCAACAAGCACGCATACACAGACTTAGCAGAAAGTGGGAAACTCAGTCAAGCATTCAGTCTATGGGCAAAACTCAGAAATCAGCTGTGTGTTTCAGTCCTTGTTCGGACGGGTCATCACACTACCCCCCCCTCAAGAGCGAGGTCCCTTCGAGCGAGTAACTCATTCTGAGTCCTCAACGAAGGCATCATAAGCAAACAAGGCGAAGAGATTCCTAGTATACTCAGTTGCAGTGAGCTTTGCAGCGATCTTTGGTATAGCGTTAGTGGATATCTGTCGCTCATAAGCTTTGACAACGCGCGGTGCACTGCGTAGCAGTTCCTGTTTAGAAATCCAGTACAGATCATCGAGAGGGTGATACATGAAGTGAACCTAGTACTGTATGTTGCGTCCCTTCCCGACGTGCTGTTTGATTCTGTCGATCTCATTCCACCTTTGATTGCACGGGGAATCATCTCTTCTCGGTAGTCAAATGTCTTAGCATCACGGTGGAGATACAGTTTCGATGCATGGAATACGGGATAGGTGCGTAGATGAGGTGGCACATCAACCACGTATGAAGGCCAAAGTGATCCTCACCAATCACATCCAACACTTCCCACGGGCCATAGTACAGTGGGAGAAGTTTGCGAGATACTCCCTCTTCTTCTGAGAATTCAGACATCTTGACCCAGACATAGCTGCCTACCTCAATATTGGACGGTCTGCGCCTCTTGTTCGCGTGATGGATCATGGCGTGCTGTCGCTTAGTCATGGCTGCAACAGCAACCTTGAGCAAGCGATCGTACTTGGCTTTGAAGCCAGGCCTGCCAGGTGTTAAGCTGGCTGGCTGTTCAGGGAATAAGTATGAGAGCGGATTCCGGATCTGCCAACCGTACTGCAGCCTGTTGGGCGTCATGCCGGTGGCGGAATGGACGGAGTTGTTGTACAACCCCTTGACGGAATATAGCTCTTCGTCCCAAGTCTCCTGATCCGGGATAATCAAGGCGCAGAGGAGTTGAAACACAGTCTGGTTGATCTCCTCAGCCAAACCGTTGGTTTCGGGGTGTCGACTAGATGTCATGCAAAGTCTGATCCCTAGTTGAGACGTGAAGTCCTTCCATTCAATACTGATGAAGCGCGGATCCCGATCGCTCACAAGAGTCTTCGGGGCACCGAACTGCAGAATGCACTTCTATTGGAACTCACGGATCACTAGATTTGTGGGAGCGTGAGGTGGAAAGGGAATCAGATTAAGGAACTTAGAGAATCGGTCAACAATCACCATGACCTGCGAGTAGCCGTTCTTGCTTACCTTTCCCATGTCGGTGAAGTCGACAGAGACAGACTCCCCGGGACCATCAGGAATGGGAAGAGGTGTGAGCAGCCCCATAGGCTTTTGTCTGCATGGTTTGATTCGTTGACAGACTTGACATTCAGCCACAAACTTTTCAGCAGTTCCTTTCATGCCAGGCCAATCAAACTGTCTCAGCAAATTTGCGTACGTTTTTGCCATGCTGAAGTGTCCGCTCCGGCCATGAGCCAAATCCAGAAAGTGCGTGCGGAGAGGCTCATGGTTGGGCACACACAAACGGTCGTGGTTCCCGTTACGACAGAAAACAAGTCCTCCATGCTCGTGAAAATCAGACTGACTACTGGGATCAGCCCGCAGCTGCTCAGGGATGGGTCCAAGCTCCGAATCCTTGGCTGTTTGCTCTACGAGTTCCTCCTTCAGTTTCTTCCGGAGGTCGTAGGATTTCACTAGGCAAGTCATGTGCTCAGGGTGGCGAGACAAAGCGTCAGCAACTCGATTGTAACAACCCTTTTTATGCCTTAATTCAAAATCAAAGATATCGATCTCATGGAACCAGCGAAGCAAGGTAGGGGACAGCGTAGTTTGCATTTTGATCCACTTCAGAGTCTCGTGATCCGAGAACACTTTGAAGTGGCGTCCCAACAGATAGTGTTTCCAATGATCCAACGCCGTGCGCAAAGCATAGAGCTTGCGCATGTAGGTGGAAGTGGCTACCTTTACGCTGGGCATGCGTTTGCTGTAGTATTCGAGTGGCCGCAAGCCATCGCCGTCATCTTGCTGCAGCACTGCGCCGATCCCATACCGACTTGCATCCGTGGTAACAACGAAAGGCAGTTTGGGATCAGCGATGCGGAGTACGGGACAACTTACCAAGGCTTCCTTCAAGGCCGCAAAGGCGCTCGTGCATGCGTCGTCCCACGTGTAGGGAACATTCTTGCTCGTTAGTCGGGACAATGGATGAGCAATTATAGAGAAACGGGGCACAAACTTCCGATAGTAAGATGCAAGACCAAGAAAAGAGCGCAGTTCACGAACATTCGCAGGTTGAGGCCAATCGCGTATGACTTCAACCTTGGTTGCCTCAGGCTCTAAGCCTGCAACAGACAACCGGTGCCCAAGGTAGATGACGCTATCCTTCCCAAACTTCAGATTTTTCCAAGTTGAGATGGAGTTGCGTCTTCTTGAGGACAGCAAGTACCTCCTCAAGATGCTTGAGGTGTTCCTCCATGGACTTGCTGAAAATCAGGATATCGTCCAGGTACACTACCACGAACCGGCCAATCTG